AAAATCTCACGTGATTAATAAACGGCCCCTAAAATTATCAATTTATTTATCAAGGCAAAATGCCACCTACACTTATTTACGTCTTGAAGTTCAATATACTCGTAAAATAACTACTTTGGTATTTGTATCATGTTTATATGATAATTTATATAAATATTATAAATAAAATAATAAATTATATATTTATTTGAACTAAATACTGGTTCTAAATTTTGTGCAAATAAATATTAAGTGTCTAAGTCACTCGTTGTGGTATTTTTAATGGACGTGGTAATTCACTAGAGGCAATTTCTCCATTTTCAATCACAAACGGCATTTCTGGTAAAGGCTTTTTATCTGGTAAGGCTCATAAACCATCCAAGTTGTCGGTCTAAAATTAAAAAAACAATATATACTCAAATACTGAAATAATTTCAGTTGTTTAATATTATTTCCCTTACTCGCTTTCGCTCGGAAGTAAATCAAAACTGACTTGATTTTCTTCTTGGATCCACTAATATTGTTCCTTGGTTCGATTTCTTCGTCTTCAGCTAAAATTTCTTCTTTGTAACATTTGATCTTTAAGACTATCACTAAAGAACTATCACAGGATCGACTTCTTTATTTATCACAGTTTCATTAGCTACTTCTTTTGGTTTTTGATTTTGTACAAAACGTTCTTCTATAAACGAATTTTGTGTCCTGTCCGTATGGTGTGGAAAATTTGTTGTTCTTGGTTGTTGTGGTAATTTTGTGAGTCAAATTGTAATTGGTAATGTCTTTTGGTCAGTTGTAGTTGATTTGTTGTCAATTGAAGTAGTTAAAGTCTGTCCTGGTTTAGAAGTTTTATCTGGTTTGCCTAATGGTGCAGTAATGCTTGCTCTGATTTTAAATTTACTTTATATTGCTTATGTAATTGGGTCATATGTTGGTTTTGTTCTGTTTTGTCAAGTTTTGCCAGAGTTGGATGTCGGGTCAGTGATTGTCATGTCATTGGTTTGTTTAGTCTGTGCAAAAATTGGTTCCTTCAAAAACTCTGTCTGTATTCAGCGTCAAAGTCAGTATTTGTCTCATGAGTTT